TCAGGAAATCTCCAGAATCTCTTCGGAGCTTCTTCAGGATATATTCATAATCTCGTCAGAGTATCTTCAGAACCTCTTCAGAATTTCATCAGAATCTCTTCAGAATCGCTTAAGAATCTCTTCGGGATCTCTTTAGAATTTTTCAGATTCTCATCATAATCTCTTCAGAATCTCATCAGAATCTCTTCAAAACCTCTTCAGAATCTCTTTAGAATATGTTCAAGGCTTTTCCAAAATCTCTTCAAAATTTTGTTAGAATTTCTTCAGAATCTCTTAGAAACCTCTTCAAAATCTCTTCAACATCTTTTCAAAATCGTTTGAAGTATATTTAAGGTCTCTTTAAAATTTCTTCACAATTTCTTCGGAATCTCTTCCGAACCTCTTCAGAATCTATTCAGAATTTCTTTAGAATCTCTTGAGCATTTCAGAATCTCTTCAGAATCTCTTCAGAATCTCTTCATAATCTCTTCAGAATCTCCTCGGAATCTCTTCAGAATCTCCTCAGAATCTCTTCAGAATCTCTTTTCAGAATCTCTTCAGAATCTCCTCAGAATCTCTTCAGAATCTCCTCAGAATCTCTTCAGAATCTCCTCAGATCTCTTCAGAATCTCCTCAGAATCTCTTCAGAATCTCTTTTCAAAATCTCTTCAGAATCTCCTCAGAATCTCTACAGAATCTCCTCAGAATCTCTTCAGAATCTCTTCAGAATCTCTTCAGAATCTCTTCAGAGTCTCTTCAGAATCTCCTCAGAATCTCTTCAGAATCTCTTTTCAAAATCTCTTCAGAATCTCCTCAGAATCTCTACAGAATCTCCTCAGAATCTCTTCAGAATCTCTTCAGAATCTCTTCAGAATCTCTTCAGAATCTCTTCAAAATCTCTTCAGAAATCTCTTCAAGATCTTATCAAAATCGTTTGAAGTATATTTAAGATCTCTTTAAAATTTCTTCAGAATTTTTTCAGAATCTCTTCAGAATCTCTTCAGAATCTCTTCAGAATCTCTTCAGAATCTCTTCAGAATCTCTTCAGAATCTCTTCAGAATCTCTTCAGAATCTTCAGAACTCTTCAGGATGTCTCCACATTTATTTCAAAAGCCCTTCAGGAAATCTCCAGAATCTCTTTGGAGCTTCTTCAGGATATATTCATAATCTCGTCAGAGTATCTTCAGAACCTCTTCAGAATCTCTCCAGAATCTCTCCAGAGTTTCTTCAGCATCTCTTCACAATCTCTTCAGAATCTCTTCTGAATCTCTTCAGAATCTTTTCAGAATCTCTTCAGAGCTTCTTTAGATTATGTTCAAGAATTTTCCAAAATCTCTTCCAATTTTTGTCAGAATTCCTTCAGAATCTCTTAGAAACCTCTTCAAAATCTCTTCAACGTCTTTTCAAAATCGTTTGAAGTATATTTAAAATCTCTTTAAAATTTCTTCAGAATCTCTTCAGAATCGCTTAAGAATCTCTTCGGGATCTCTTTATAATCTTTTCAGAATTTCTTCAGAATCTCTTCAGAATCGCTTAAGAATCTCCTTGGAATCTCTTTAGAATCTTTTCAGAATCTCATCAGACTCTTCAACATCTCTTCAGAATCTTTTCAGAATCTTTTCAGAGTCTCTTTAGAATATGTTCAAGGCCTTTCCAAAATCTCTTAAAAATTATTTACTTAGGAACTACTTCAGAATGTCTCCACATTTATTTCAAAATCCCTTCAGGAAATCTCCAGAATCTCTTCGGAGCTTCTTCAGGATATATTCATAATCTCGTCAGAGTATCTTCAGAACCTCTTCAGAATTTCATCAGAATCTCTTCAGAATCGCTTAAGAATCTCTTCGGGATCTCTTTAGAATTTTTCAGATTCTCATCATAATCTCTTCAGAATCTCATCAGAATCTCTTCAAAACCTCTTCAGAATCTCTTTAGAATATGTTCAAGGCTTTTCCAAAATCTCTTCAAAATTTTGTTAGAATTTCTTCAGAATCTCTTAGAAACCTCTTCAAAATCTCTTCAACATCTTTTCAAAATCGTTTGAAGTATATTTAAGGTCTCTTTAAAATTTCTTCACAATTTCTTCGGAATCTCTTCCGAACCTCTTCAGAATCTATTCAGAATTTCTTTAGAATCTCTTGAGCATTTCAGAATCTCTTCAGAATCTCTTCAGAATCTCTTCATAATCTCTTCAGAATCTCCTCGGAATCTCTTCAGAATCTCCTCAGAATCTCTTCAGAATCTCTTTTCAGAATCTCTTCAGAATCTCCTCAGAATCTCTTCAGAATCTCCTCAGAATCTCTTCAGAATCTCCTCAGAGTCTCTTCAGAATCTCCTCAGAATCTCTTCAGAATCTCTTTTCAAAATCTCTTCAGAATCTCCTCAGAATCTCTACAGAATCTCCTCAGAATCTCTTCAGAATCTCTTCAGAATCTCTTCAGAATCTCTTCAGAATCTCTTCAGAATCTCTTCAGAATCTCTTCAGAATCTCTTCAGAATCTCTTCAGAATTTCTTCAGAATCTCTTCAGATCTCTCAGAATCTCTTCAGAATCTCTTCAGAATCTCTTCAGAATCTCTTCAGAATCTCTTCAGAATCTCTTCAGAATCTCTTCAGAATCTCTTCAGAATCTCTTCCGAATCTCTTCAGAATCTCTTCAGAATCTCTTCAGAATCTCTTCAGAATCTCTTCAGAATCTCTTCAGAATCTCTTCAGAATCTCTTCAGAATCTCTTCAGAGTCTCTTCAGAATGTCTCCACATTTATTTCAACATCCCTTTAGAAAATCTCCAGAATCCCTTCAGAGCCTCCAGGATATGTTCAGAATCTCTTCGGAGCCTCTCCAGAATATATTTATAGTCTAGTCAGAGTATCTTCAGAACCTCTTCAGAATCTCTTAAGAACCTCTTCAGAACCTCTTCAGAATCTCTTCAGAATCTCCTCAGAATCACTTCAGAATCTCTTCAGAATTTCTTCAGAATCTCTCCAGAATCTCCATAATTTCTTCAGAATCTCTTCAAAATCTCTTAAGAGTGGCTTCAGAATCTCTTCAGGATCTCCTCAGAATCTCTTCAGGATCTCCTCAGAATCTCTTCAGACTCTCTTCAGAATCACTTCAGAATCTCTTCAGAATCAAAGGAGCTTTCCAAAGCTTTCCAGTCTAGTCAAGTTTTGGAAGTGTCGATATGTTCAAAGAAGTTTAAAGTTCAATCCCCCAATATGACATATTTCCTTATTACTTTCTTACCTTATTACCTTCTTACCTCTTACCTTCTTACCTTCTTGGGAAAAAAGGGACTCCTCTGTGTTGCACTTCCTAGCCTTTTGGTTACACTTTACAGCTCTGAATTTTCACCCTAAGCCTCCAACTGCCAGTCGGCGAGGTTCCTGATTCCAGTTTTCTGAACGTTTTCAATGGTAGCGGGTTCCTCAGAGAGCGTTTGATTAATGGTGTACATAGTTAATTTTAACCTCTAGCGTTGACGACTATTACTTGACTTAAGGAAGCTCTCCCAATTGTTACGGGACTACTCCCTCCAAAGACTGACGTAAAACAGAGGAAATCGACTCGAATATGTATGTCAATAAATACGGAAAACGTCTCGTGTGCGATCCCGGTGTTTAAGTTGTAAGAGAGTGTATCAAATTAAAGCTGGATGCAACAGACGTAATTTTTAGTAATGTACCTAAACTAAAAGGATATGGATATGGAGGGGGCTCCAATTAAAGCGGTAGATTTGAAAAGGAACTACACACTGGGTGTTGCTATGAACATAAACTTGGAACGAGCATAAGATATTCAGTAAAACAGAAGAGAAGATTCCATTATGAAATCGGCGTAGCACTACATGAACTAGGAGGCACTTTTAGTGAAATGTCAATTGACCATTCGATACACTCAATGTAATTGCTTATGGTTTAGCGAAAGAAGACGAAATGGCGATGTTATCATTACCATAACAGCATCTTAATAACCGTGGGATGATAGATATGAAAATCACCCTGTGGGTCACCCCACCGTTCACATTGGAGAAGAGTGTGTTTCGTAATCTGTTGGGCATTTATCTTGAAGATAAATCTCTAAGAGAAACAAAACTTCAGTGAAAATTAATTAGGAACACGTATCATCTCGAGAAAAATCAGTTTCTCTCAACTTTCGCTTCGAAACGCTAATTATGCGACAGAACTTTGAATGTACACGCATTAATTAATATTCTCGGCGCATTCGTATCATGGACTGCCTCCTATTAAATGAGAAGTTTTCTAATTAGGAATAAGAAGCTAGCGCCGCGGTTAGATAATCTTGTTGTTCGTCGCCGATGGATACACAAGCGCGCCTGTAATTAACATGTCTCCGGAAAGTAATTTATGTCCCCGTCCAATTAGGAAGCACTTAGCGAGCGATGTAATTAAATTCGATTAGTTGTCGCATGTGCGACTATAAACATGCGTTCTTCGTGCGTCAACCCAGTGACAGTTTAATTAGGGCGACGGTGCAGTGGAAGGGGTGACTTTTTTCGATTATAAAGAAGCACTTCGCGAGATTAAGTTTACGCTCTTTGAAAGATAACGATGCGCTCGAGATCTCGAGTTTTGTTCGCTCGTTACGGGCGGGCGATATTAAAAAATTAATACTCAACTTTGTGGAGTTTTAACGAGGTGGATGGGGTTGCGAAATTTTGCTTGTACACTTTTACTGTGATCAGTAAAGGTGGAGGGTGCTGGAGGTTACGCCTCGAGACACTCGGGTGACCAGGTGACGTAGATGTGTGAGATTCCTCTCCGGCGGCGTATATATAGACACTGTGACAAGGTAACTGGTGCTTGTAAACCGATTACGTTATTAAAGCTTACTTTGTGCGTTTATTCCGCCACTTAAAGCTGCTCTGCTTGAATAGGGTAATGATATTTACACGCCCCGCATTAAAATAAGAACGTAACACATGTGGTAAAATAGGATGATTTTCCGTTTGCTCAGATTGGGGAAGTTATCTAAAGATTTGCAATATTTTTAGCAGTTTGGGAGGATTTGAGGACCAAAACACCTTTGGAAGGTTCAGTCTTCTTTTGTTAATAACATCTTCCGTCGACTCTCAATTTTCAACTGTGAATGATCGACTAATCGGAATTGCAAAATGATTCTTGATACTCGTATCGGTATTGATACGGAATTTGGAACGCGAGATAACCCCTAGGAACACACAATACAAACAAATCTGGTGTATAGCTTCGCCTAAATGGGTCGCGCTTGGTACATGCTGAGTGAAATTACCGATCAGCGACTAGAAAACCACTTGGACCCTCCCCAATTTGTCGACATGGCGGTGGTCAACGCCGAGACTGGCGTTTTACTCTACGAAGTAAGTACCTTCTCCAAGAACTGCGCTCGGAAACGCTCCACTTTTTCAAGGTCATCCTGGACACGGACGCCGAGTGGAAAGAAATCGTGCAGAAGCACAATCTCGTCTTCGTCTTCGACCAGCACTGCTCCCGCGAAACGCCCGACTACAACGATTTTATGCGAATTATCTTTACCGAACACTCCCACGACTATCCAGGAATTCGTCTCATCACGGCAGGATCCGGTTACTTCGACGTGAGGGATCGAAGCAACCGATGGATACGGATCGAGGTGGTTACGGGCGATTTCATTATTATTCCCGGAGGGATCTCTCATCGATTTACCATGGATTCCAACGTAATTATAACCTTAGGTAGATCTGCAATTGTAGTTTTTGTTGCAGGAGAGTGTTACGAGTAAGAAGTTCGATGATGCATAAACAGAAATATTGTTTATTGCTAGCAAAATACAATGAAACTGTCATTGTTAATTTAGACGGACAATTACATCTTCTGCTTCTTCCACTTTTTCATCTCTCCCTTGAGCTTTCTCGGGCCCATCGGCTTCTTCAGCGTCTTCCTTGGTACTATTCCATTCCTAGTTTTCAGAATTTCAGATTCCTCGATTTCTTTAGTTTCCTGGTTCCATCAACTTGTTGGGCCCGACTCAACCTCCTCGTTTTCCGCCGAGAGCACTTCGGAATCTCGCCACCAGAGTTGTTCCCCACCAGCAGAGTTCGACTCAATGCCCCATTCTCTACCACTCTGTGTACTGGGGATCCCCCCCCCCCTCCATAGCAGCTGGTGCTACGTTCTCACTCAAATCGCTTATTCTCAAACATTCTCTTGGTGGATTCGTATAAAGGACCACAGGATCTTTTTTTGGTTTCGGAGGCTCCACGATCGTCAATTTCTTAAAATTAGAGTGTACCGAAGGATCTGGAGAGTATGGATACCACCCATGAAACAGACGGTTCAATATTTTCTTCCATAGAATATGACAGCATCTTCTTATACTCGAAGACATTCCATACGTCCATACACGCTGGTGCAAGGTTTCCCCCAATTGGTCCTGAGCTAAGGATTCTCATGGCAGTTTTCTACAAAGGAAAAAATTTTCATTTCTTGAGAACTTGTCTGGCTCCTGGTATCATTTTCGATTACCCCTTTCTAAAAATTATGGTGTGTCTGGGAGGTATGGAATACGTACCAGGGAAGAAAAAGAAGAAATATTTATTATTCATCTTCTAGCAACTATCGTAAGATAATCGTGCACGGGGAGCTACGTTCTCACACAGCACGCCCAACCGTAAGGGTCTTGTGAAGAGTTTCTCGTAGAGGACCATCCACTCCTGTTTCCCCATAAGCTCTGATGGTGTTACTTTTGGTGACCCCTTTCAAAAAATGACGATGTGAGTACAGGGGGCCTGGGGGTCCAAACAAAAACAAAGGTTGAATACCTCTCCCCACCCCCTCCTTTAAATGTTTCCATACCTCCAGTCCTCCCGGTGCTTCGTTCTCACCTAAAACGTGTTCTTTTTGGGATAGTTTCATATACAGAGGCATCCAGCCTTCATTTCCTGAGGAGAATTCAGTACTCTGGGGGGTCATTAAGAAATGGCCAATAGAAAAAAGGTACGGTTTCGTTGGTTAGCGACGCAACAATAAAGTTTTGTTCCTATTGGCTATTGATTAATGATCTAATGATAGTGAATTAATGAACCTGATTGTATTAACCCACCATATAATATGTTCATCTTCCTGCAACTATAATAACATAATCGTGCATTGGGGGGGGGGGGTATTCCATACCATCCCGACCCCCCCCGGAGCTACGTTCAAGCCCAACACGTTAAGTCATAAGAATTTTTGGAAGAACCTCCCATAAAGGACACCCAATCCTGTTTGCCCCCAAGATGTATTCTATAACCCATACGCTCCTGGTATCACTTTCGAATACTTCTTTCCAAAAATTATGGTGAGTGCTATGTGGGGCTTTCCATACTCCCCAGACCCCCAGGAGATACGTTCTCAACTTACACGTTCAGCCGTAAGAGTCTCTCATAAAGGGCCATCCAATCCTGTTCCCCTGAAAAGCTTCCTGGTATTACTTTTGATGGCCCTTTTCTACAAATTATGGTGTGAGTTGTTCCATGGCCACATTGAGGGAGAATGTAGCACCGGGGGGCCTGGGGGTACGGAATGTCCCCCTTCCTGTAGTTACAATCCTATGATAGTTGGTCACTGGGTGGTATTCCATACCAGCCAGGCCCAGGAGCTAAGTTCTCATTCCACACGTTTAACCTTAAGCGTTTTTGGAAGTCTCTCATAGAGGACCATCCCATCATGTTGCCCTGAGAAGTTTGGTATTACTTTTACAAAAATTATGGACCTGTAATACCCCTCAGGGAAGCAAAGCGTCATCGACACCCCAGGGGAGAGAAAGAGGAAGGATTGAATGTTCATATTCCTGTAACTATCATATGATCATCTGTCACTGGGGGGTAATCTATACCCACAGACCGCCCGGAGTTACGTTCTCCTCCAACAGGTTCAGCCGCTAGGATTTTTGGAAGAGTCTCTTGTAGAAGACCACTCAATCATGTTATCCTGATAGGTATTTACCCAACCCCTAAACACTTAGTTTCAGTTAGTGGTATGGAATACCCCCCTCCCCTCCAGAGGATTAAAAGAAGAAAACTGTAATGCTTCCTGTAACTATCAGATGATCATCGTGCACTTGGAGGTTTTGCATACCCTCCCAGACACCCCAGAGCAACGTTGTTCTCCAACACTCTCAGCCATAAGGGTTTTACAAAGGACCATCAACCCTGTTTCCCTGCACAGTATTCTGTACATTACAGGCATCTAGTGGCATTTCAGATTACCCTTCTCCAAAAATTATGGGGTGAGCGCTATGGAGTATGGACGCCTTGGGGAAGGATGGAACACCCCCGAGTAGGGATAAAGAGGGAATATTGAAGGTTCATCTTCCTGCAACTATCATAAGATGATCGCGCACTGGAAGTATGGAATACACCCCAGGGGTAAGGAAGGGGAAATATGGAATTTGTATCTTCCTGTAACTAAACTATCATAAGATCATAGTGCACTGGGGGGATTTCCAAAAGGAGTTCTGGAAGGGTCTCTCATTTAGAACCATCCAATGATGTTTACCTGAAAAGTGTTATATAACCCATAGGCCCCAGGTATCAATTTCCATTACCCCTCACCACAAATTACAGAACTGAAGACATTAGACACCTTGGAGGAGAAGGTAGCACCGGATGTCCTGGGAGTATGGAACATCCCCTAGGGGACAGCAAGAAGAAGGATTAAAGGTTCACCTTCCTGTAACGATCATAAGATGATGGTGCACTAGTGGCATGGAATACCCCCCTGGGGAGAGGGTGAGGAAAGGTTGAATATTTAATGCCCTGTACCTAGCATATGATCATCGTGCGCTGTGGGGGTTTTCCATACCCCCAGATCCCTCGGAGCTACGTTCTCAACTTACACGTTCAGCCGTTAGGGTTTCTGGAAGAGCCCCTGAAGGTATGGGGGTATGGAATACCCCCTTCCTGTAAGAATCATATGATCGTCGGTCACTGGGAGGTATTCCATACCACCTAGCCCCCCCCCCCCGGAGCTAGGTTCACATGTTCAGCGTTAAGCGTTTTTGAAAGAGTTTCTCATAGAGAACCATCCCATTATGTTTCCCTGAGAAGTATTGTTTACCCCCATAAGCTCTTGGTATCACTTTCGATGGCCCTTTCACAAAAATTATGGTATGAGCCCTATGGACACCTTGAGAAAGAATGGAGTAATAAGATGATCGTGTACTGAAGGATATTAACCCCCCTCCTCCACCCGATTCCGCGGAAATACATTCTCACTCAAAACATTCAACCGTAAGAATTTTTGAATTTTTGGATTTTGGTTTCTCCTTTTTATCTTATTTGTTTTTAGGGGCACAGAGCGTATTAGTCTTTCAAAGGAGTGTTTTCAAAACCCTTTAAGGAGTCGATTGGTCGCGGAAGTACTATAAGGACCATCAAGGGGATGTCAGAAGTTCTAAATGATCTTAGTCGCTTCCTAAGGGATGAACATAAAACCAGCAAATTGAGGGTAGTTTGTGGATCCTTTTTTTGAAATATTGAAATTGACATTAATTATACTAAACAGCTGAAAGGAACGTAATTAAGGTGCATTATGAATCTGGCACACTCTTTCCCAATATAAGCGGTACGGTGACCTATCGGGAATTTGTCATATTTATTAACGTACCTTAGTAGCCGGATTTTATTTTACATAGAGACTTAAGCATCCTGTAACATTTTCTGCATGGTCACATTTCACTGTACTTTATACGTATGAATTATTGTGTTAACCCCCTTGAATTAGAGTTTGATGAAATTCGGAGAGTTACGAAAATGAGCAGTTAATGGTATTTCCCCTTTGAATCGAAACTATTTGTTAAAACAGGTCAATATGGAGGATTTGTAAAGGTTATGGTTCCTTTTATACGGGAATGATACTGTAAAATTGGCAGCAAAGGAAAACAGCTGAAAGAAACGTTATGGAGGTATTAGACGTTTCAATCAGCAGAATTAAGCGACAGCGTATGACTCCAAGCTTTGTTACAAGAACTCTCGAGAATTTCTTTGTAGTGTAGGGATTTGTGTAACACTATGTTCATTTGAAAGGTATCTACACAAAAGTGAAAGACTCAATGTGCCTTTTTGCCAAAAGGAATGAATACTTATTTTCCAGACGGCACAAAAAACTACCTGCTAATTTAGACAACTGCCAACAATAAGTGACAGCGACAGACGTAGACGTACGCATAATTTCCCATCCCATTGAATATTCAAACGGACGACCTTACTCATTTCCAGCGACACGCTGTCACATTTTCCCCCCTCACCTCTGGATGATCCTTTACGTTCAAAGCAAAGCTCGGAATTGCACCCCAAAGTAAAATACCGCCCCCCTCCCCCACCAACTTACCCAAAAGTTTCCTTCGCTGTTAACGACGTGTTAGCGCATATAGCTTTAACACAAAAGCAAAACCCGAGAGATTCGGCTAATTCCGCGAATCTGAGGCCGTGATCTTTATACGCAGTCTTAAATAAATAAGGCGAATTTCGCTAAGATGTGGAAATGGGCGGCCTAGTTGTGGCAAGCTCGTGCAAATGTCATACTAAGTCTTCCTTCCCGCTGCATTATCGAAAAGGGCAAGCTTAGAGTTTTCGCATAAAAGTTAATTACTGCGGTTTTTACGTGTAATTAAGCTACAAAGATATCTAAGAGCACATTTTCGTCTACATCCATTATCTATTTCGAGCTACCAAGTGGGAATTTGTCATATTTATTAAGGTACATTATAAATTTGGCACATTCTTTCCCAATATAAGCGGCACGGTGACCTATCGGGAATTTGTCATATTTATTAACGTACATTAGTAGCCGTGTTTTATGGTTTACCTAGAGACTTAAGCATGTATTTCTCATTGGTCACCCCC